TGATTTTTTTAATTTTTTTCCTCAGCACTCATATCCCTTTCTCATACTTCTCAAAGATACAGGTATGATCAGAAAGATATAAGAGATTGCACACACTCAATACAACCACGAAATATCTGTACAGTATTCATTTGGAGATACTTTTGCATGGAATACCTTTCTAGCAAGGTATGCAATCTGAAACCTACTTATCTTCTCTACCTGTAACATCACCTCCTGTATGTAAAGGAGACAGGGGCTTGGAAGCTCCTTTACACAGATCTGGTTTAGCTCCCTAGTGTCTCTACTGGCTGGCAGCAGCTCTTCTTGGTATTCAGCCAAAGTCTTTCTTAATTCTGCAGAAGTCTTGGATCACACCCAGCTCATTTGCATGAAAAACTGATGTCCTTCATTTTAACTGTGAAAACTCCAAGAGCAGTATATTATTCTTAATAAAATAAATAAAAGATTAGAGATTATCTTACTTCAAACCATTGCATGCACTGATGCTTGCAGTTGAGTCAGCATCATTCTGGATGCGTCCGTGATAATAGCAGTGATCCTGTAGGGAGACAAGAGGACTACACTGGTTAAAGTTGGTTTGTAGTGTGATTTGATGAGCAGAAGTACAGTTCCAATGTATTCCACCACATCAATGAAATATTAAGACAGCAGTTATTCAGAAAATTTTGATTCAGGGGGACAGAAGACCTGCTTAATATTGATTGTTGCAAAATGAACATAAGATAAATGCAAGTCTCCATAAATCAGGTCACACTGCAGGGGGAGTCCCACTGATGGCACAAAGCTAAGAACATTTGGGCAGACAACCAACCAAGCATGATAGTGCTGTCATTTTTTTTGCAGCTGATAGGGCCACGTTCTGGACCAATTTAATATGAAAGATATTATATGGATTTCTGTATAGGAACAAAGTTGTTATCACTTTTGGTATTACAAATAAAAGATTTTGCATGTATCCCTGTAGTCTGGTTCAAAAATGAAAATATAGATCTTATAAACCTGATGTTCTCATAATAAATCTGTTTGTGAAACTCACTCCCCAAATGTTGGCTTTCACCCAGTAGGAAAGAACTGGATGATTGAAATACTGTTGTGGTAATTCAATGAGTAAAACAAACTGGGTTTAACAATCCATACATCCTTATAAGTACATATCAATATAAGATACTTCATAGATATATAGCCCTTCTTTTTTTGAGTAGCCTGGTCTCGTTCTTGTATATTTGTAATATTGTGCACAAACGTTTGCTTCAATTGACGTATAATAATAATAATAATAATAATAATAATAATAATAATAATAATAATAATAATAATAATAATAATAATAATAATAATAAAGTAAGACTCTTAAAAATAAGACCCTACCTCAACCGAGGGGTATGTTGTAATTTCTCTGCCATCAGGGGAATAATGAGTGTCACTGTAATCTTCTGAAAAAAGTCCTCTGCAAAGAAGAGAATATCTATGTCAGGAATTAAGTAGGACTGAGATAATTTTATAATAAGTTTACAACTACTGTATAGTGGAAATGTAAGCATCTTGTTTGGTATCAAAAGAATGGAGCAGGTATTTCAATCCCATGGCTATTTAAGAGGAGGGCTGTGCATACTAGATTCACCCGAGGATAGAGATTTACACCAAGGAAGCTGTGCAATTCTCTTCATCAAGGCTCAGAGGAGTATGATTGACCAGGAGAAGACATTTTCTATTGCGTCTTCTTTTTATTCTTCTGGTCTATGCAACAATCTGATGAATCTGCTTGGTCTATAAAGGAGAGCAGTATAGCTCTATTTACTAAAGAGTAAAATGAAGCAACCTCAAGGAAATGGATGCCTTGAACCTTCATACAGAATCATCTCTCTTGAAGCTTTAAACCAATGTATGGAGTCACTCTCCATTCCTGGTGTCTCATCTATTCACTTGGCATTGCCTTCTATTTTGCCAATCTAGATATTCCTTGCTAGTCTTCCCTCTCTAGTCCTGCTTTGTTTCCATGCCAAAACAAGACCATCCAGATGCTAACTTGAAATTCCGTGCAGCCTTCATATTTAAACAAAACAAAAGGAGACACTAGAACTTCTAAAGCACACATTAGAATTCAGCATGAAATGTCTCCAGTGGAATAGGATAAAGTGACACGCAGGTACCCACATATAGGGTAATTTCTTTATAGCTTATACTTAATAATAAAGACAAAGGAATGCAATTATTATTTCTGTTAGATTGTGTCCAGGAATATACATTTTCCACATTCTCCAAGTGAAGTTAAGAAAAAAAACTTGAGTTAACATACTTATTTTTTTCCAGGTGAAGGACCACTGGCTCTCCATTCACCTTAAATTCATATTGCATGGCGTCTTCATACTGAAAAGCAAAGAGTTCAGGGTTTACTTCTTAAAAAATTAAGCAGCTAAGATGTGTACCCTCTTAACAACTCTACACCTGTATTAATTTAAATCTAATGAATAATTTGCCATACCCAAATTATTTATTAGATTTAGAGTATTTCATCTGGTGCTTTGAACTTTAAGATCATAAATTAACTTTCCTGCATAAATACAAGATTTCATTCTCTAATTGAACATCTTGGTGAATAAGGTTGAGCTGGGACAGAGAGACGGACTCAAAAGTCATCCAGTGATAGACTTGAATCTCATTCTCAAAACTAATCTTGAGTTGTAACCACTATACCATCTTCCCCTAGAAACCCAACTTTTATATTTCTAAGTGATGCATGTAGACATGCAGAGTTTAAATT